GCAAAAGGAGACTAACAATTTTGGCTACTAATATAGAAGAAAACCAAGAGACTGATTTCATGGAAGTCAAGGGAAGCCAAATCAAGTGAAGAAAGTATTTAAGGAAAGAATGATTTTTGCTTAGACATTGCTGTGTAGGTGTATCTTAAGAAATGAGTTTTAACTTTGGCAATGTGAAAATCCTGATGGGGCAGTTTTAATGGAGTTTCAGAGGTGAAATTCTAATTAGAATTGTTCTAAGAGAAAAGGAGAGAAGAAGAGGAGATGAATCTTTTAAGGAATTTGCTATAAAGTGATACAAAGAAATGTGGGGTATAGAGAAAGTTCTTTTTTTTTTTTCTTTTTTAAAAAGATGTCTGATTGTCAGATATTATGCAGGTGGAATGACTTAGAGGACAGGAAGATGAGTAGTGCAGGGCAGGAAAAAAGTCCTAGATGGAAGAAGATAAGCATCTAGGCCATAAGCAGAAGTTTTGGCCTTAGCTGGAGTATAGACTGCTCCACTGTAACAGAAAGACAGGCAAGGTGTAGGAGTCTAGAGGGAGAGAGAGTGGAAGATTTGCTGATGGGAGGAAAAGGAAGGTCTCTTTTGAACATTTGTGTTTTCTCAGTGAAATAAGATCTCCAGCAGCACTGAGCAATGGATGGCAGGGTATGGGAGGCTTAATGAGAAGGAAATGGTGCGTTTCTCAGAGGCCTGGAATCATTGGGCTGGAAGATGGCAGAGGGATGTCCCAGAAGTCCTAAGGGCCCACTTGAGGCTTGTGGTTGTACATTTAAAAATAGTGATTGACAGCAGTATCATATCCGATGCTCCCTTTGTATAACAAATACTTTGTAATGACCCTTTACTGTACTAAAATAAAAATTCATACTTAAACTACACACCAATATGATTTTTAAAGAAATGCCTGTCTAGTGATAATAATAGTAGTAAAAGAAAAATAATTTAAAAATAAAAGTAATATACATTTCAGTATAAGTTTTCAGTACAGCTATACTGGATAACACAATTAAGTTTACAGGTTTGTATTCCTATGTGTAGTATCAGCTAAATGTGTGAACTACAAATGCCAGATTATACTGTTATGTTATACCTGTGACTTAAAAACCATGAATGGTAGTGTCATTAGTGATAGGATTTTTCCAAAAGAGTAAATGACACATGAAGCATTGAACAAATGTCCCTTCTTTGAGATATTGGAGGGTGTTGCACTCTTAGAAAATTTGGTGTGTATTATAATCATGCAAAAATATTTTATTATAAAAGGTAGTTTGGTTTTTGACTCAGATAAATAGGTATTCACCTAACATGAATCTTTGGAGGGAAATTTGAAAGTCTGTGGCATACAGAACAAACTTTCTTTGTGTAGGACTTCCCCAAACATTGAAGGGCATTTGGTATTCTTCATTCCCTGCCAGTTGAGATGAAAGTAACATCCTCCAATCATTGTGAGATCCCCAAACTCCTCAAATTCTCAAAACACTCTGTAATATCATCCACACTGCCTCCCACTCTCCTTGATCTCCATTGATTTATTATGATTCCATTAATAGTTTTTTATGTGTTTTCTCTAGCCACTGTCCATTGTTAACGTATAGACCTACAGGAGGTGAAGAATTGGACCAGGGCTGGTTTCTATTTTTTTTTTTTTTTGACGACAAAGAAGGAAGGGTAGGGCAATGAGTCAGGAAAGGAAGGTGGCTGTAATGCTGGACCATGAATCCTAGCTAAGTGTAGAGGGAAGAGTAGACCTGGCAGGGAGGTATGGAGTGTGACAAGGGATAGGAACAATGGTTTGGAACACCTGGTAGAGTGAAGAATTGTTATAGTGGGCTACTTAAATGTGGAACTAGAGAAAAAGGAGATGATGGTGAGAAAGTGGGCTTCTTGCAATTGATATTTTAGAAGTGGTACAGTTATTTGTAATGACCAGTTTGAGTCTGTGTCCATGAGAAGGGTAGCTGATGTGAAATGGAATTCAGATCATTAGAGGCACTGAGAGGCCAGGGGGGATTGTCTACTTAGATTTTTAAAAGTCATTGAATGATTACAGGAGCAGAGGGGGAGAGACAAAAACAAGCCAGGATGGTAAAATCTTCAATAAATGAGAGGGAAGGATGCAGAAGAACTGGTATAAATGCAATAAGGAAGGATAATAGGTGCTCTGGGCTACTAATATGTGCTTCGAAGCAAAGACCTTTGGAGAAGGATGAAGGAACAATAGTCTGGAAGTGGTTATGAGGAGCAAGAAAGAGAGCTTCCACACACACCTTCAGGGCCTGGAGAACTTGACATGTGGATGAAAAAAATTACAACTAGAGAGGTTTGCAATAAAAACAGATCCTTAAGGGATTGCTAGGTATTCAGGAAAATAAAAATTGATGTGAACCAATCATGTGTATTCCCATCATTTTCACCAGCAACAACAGGAGCTTACCATCTTCTGAGATTTATTCACTTTCCCATAGTTCAAATATGTTGTCTGAAAGAATGAGCTTTCCATACTTTGTTTCAAGTGGTTGGGTATTTGATGTATGTAGCTAACACTCTGGGAGGCACTGGGGAAATTAAAAATGATTTCACTGAGAAGAAGAGAAACGTAACACAGGGGCTATATGCCATGGCTTGTAAGAGACTTCAACTTGGTTCCACCTGGTTCCATGTTGGTAAGGAAGAGGTCTTCCCTGCCACCCCACCCCTTGCTGCCGAGGCCCCAAGAATTTCCATCAAGCTTATGGGAGATTGAGTAGCGCAAATGGTTCTGATTGGGGCTAGGCTATTTCAGAAAACTTTTAGGCTCAGATGACCGTCACATATGCTCGAAAAGTATAAGTGATGGGTTGCTTCTTGTATTCTCACTCATTAATCAGTGATTTATTATATTAATAAATGTCCATCATTTCCTCTCTAGGCTCAGTATGACTCACTATATATAGTGATTATTCTCTTGCCATAATGTTAAATTTTATTGGCTAATATTGATTTAGGAGTTTTACATCTTTAATTTTTTTAAAGTTTCTTTTTAGCGTAACAGAATTCATTGTTTATGCAACACACCCAGTGCTCTATGCAATACGTGCCCTCCATAATACCTACCACCTGGCCCCCCCAACCTCCCACCCCCAGCCCGTTCAAAACCCTCAGATTGTTTACTGTATTATTTATTAAATTATCAGTGATAGACTTTATTATGAAGCTTATCTCTCCTTCATGGAATAAATTAACTAGTTTTCTACATATTTATGGTTTAAAATATTTTATATAGCATGAAAATGATCTCTTTCATGAGCTGTGAAGTTATGAGAGCAAGGGCATGTTCTTTATTTTCTGTTTCAAATCTATGAGGTTTAAAAAAATTATTTATTTCATTAGAATTTTTGCATTTAGTAACTTACACATGCATAATATACTCTTTCAATCTTTTCTATGTCAAATATTTAGCTCAATTTTCCATTTGGTTTGTATTATATTATTCTAGATTTATTTGCAAGAGATTTGCTATTTTATTTTTATTTCAAAAACATTTCTTTGAACCAGTCTACTGATGTTCTATTTTCTAATTTATTTATTTCTATTTGGATATTATTGCCTTTCATCTATTTTCCATGGAACAATTTTATATATATTTTAAAATAATTGATTTGAATGTTTATTAGTTCTTCTTCTCAATTTCACTTTTAATAAAAAAAGTGCTTAACATTATGAATTTACCTTTGAATGTAATTCTAGATTATACATTTTCACTGATTTCTAAACAGCTATTGATCATATTTTTTTTTCTTCACATGATATAATAGTATTTGGGGAGAGAGAATGTGTTTTGTTTGTTTTAAGGATTTCATTTATTTATTTGAGAGAGAGAGTGCACGCACGAGAGAGAGCACTAGGACTTGGGGAGTGGGAAAAGCAGGCTCCCCACTGAGCAGGGAGCCTGATGGGAGCTTGATCCCAGGACCCTGGCATCATGGCCTGAGCCTAATGCAGACACTTAAACAAAAGCAGATGCTTAATTGACTGAGCCACCCAGGTGCCCCAAGAATGTGTTTTTTTAATAATATTATTGGAGTTGTAAATTTAAACTTCTATTTGTATCTAGTTTTTTCTATTATTTTCCACAAAATGTGGCTTTTTAATTTTCATTTTAAAACTGTATTTAAGTTTACATTGTTAGTATGTGACAAATACTACAAATGTTCAAAGAATTGTTGAGAAAGATATTTTTTGTTAGTAGGCTACAATGTATATAAATAAATAATACTAATATTTATTAGTTATACCAGTCAGATATTTCATATCCTTATTTGTTACCTTAGAAAAATTTACTGGGCGGTTTATCTCTGTTGGTCTTGTAATGATGTCTCTCACAATAATTGTGTTTATGTCAGTTTCTCTTTGAATGTCTAAAAAGTTTTGTTTGGGGTGCCTGGGTGGCTCAGTGGGTTGGGCTGCTGCCTTCGGCTCAGGTCATGATCTCGGGGTCCTGGGATCGAGTCCCGCATTGGGCTCTCTGCTCAGCAGGGAGCCTGCTTCCCTCTCTCTCTCTCTCTCTGCCTGCCTCTCTGTCTACTTGTGATCTCTCTCTGTCAAATAAATAAATAAAATCTTTAAAAAAATAAATAAATAAATAAATAAATAAATAAAAAGTTTTGTTTGATTTTTTTTTTCTGTTAGTATTGTTATTTATGCCATTGTTATTATAAAATGGTTATTTACTGACTTTTACTTCAAATTCCACTGTTAGTGGGGCGCTTGGGTGGCTCAGTGGGTTAAGCCACTGCCTTCTGCTCGGTTCATGATCCCAGGGTCCTGGGATTGAGCCCCGCATTGGGCTCTCTGCTCGGCAGGGAGCTTGCTTCCCTTCCTCTCTCTCTGCCTGCCTCTCTGCCTACTTGTGATCTCTGTCAAATAAATAAATAAAATCTTAAAAAAAATTAAAAATATTTTGAAATGATATTTAATCTTACTAAATTCCTTTTTGTCTCTTATTTTGTTTTAGGTGGGCCATAAAACATGAAGGGACTAATAAGCCAGGCCAGTGGAAACATTCCAGAGTTGAAAATCCGCTCTGGAACAAGCTTACCTACATGTGGCCAGTTCTTCCCAGTGGACGACTTAATGAGGTTGTATCTTTAGTATAAGAGGTGGTTGTTGAGATTTTCTTTTAGGCCAAGTATGTGCTCAATTTTTTTGAAAATTTCCATGAATCTTTTAAATTATATTTGTTAGGTGCAAGAGATCATTTAATTCTGCTTTTGTACCAATTCATTAGAAAGATGTATTTAAGTCTCTCATTATGAAAATGAACTTATTTCTTCTTGTAGTCTGTCAAATTTTACTTTATATATTTTGAAATTTAGTTCTGAGACACATACATATTTAGAAATATTATTTCTCCCTAGTGAATTGAAACTTTTATCATTATGTAGAGACTCTTCTATCTCTCGGAAAAAAATCTCAGTTATGCAATATTAATAGAAATAGGCCAGCTAATTATTATTATTATTATTTGCTTAATATATCTTCTTTCCATCCTTTTATTTCTATATTTTTATATCTTTCTGTTAGAAGGGTCTCTAATAATCAGCAAATAGTTAATATAAAAACAATTATCTGACAAACTTCATCTCCAAACTAAAGGAATTGGTCTTGTCTATTTATTGCCTTAACAGATATATTTAGATTATTATTTGCTTTCTATTTGTCCTGACTTTCCTGTGTTTCTTTTTTTCTCATTCTTATGTTCTTTTAGATTGATTTTTTTTCTCTGTTTGGAAAAAAAACTCTACTAGTTTGGAAATTGTACACTCCATTTCCTTTTTTTTTGTTATTACTTCTTTTCCACTCTTTTTTTGTTATTACTCTGAATGTTGCAGCTTGCATATGTAAGTGATCAAAATTTAAAGTTAACAAATGTATTTACTCTTCTCCCAAATAATCAAGAACATTAGAAAACCTTAACTTCAATCACATGATTTGTAACAAGTGCTATTATTTTCATGAATTTTATCTTTTTGTATTTATTTACTTATTTATTTTTATTATCATGTCCAATAAGCCAGCATATAGTACATCATCAATTTTTGATGTAGTTTTCAACAATTCATTAGTTGCCTGTAACACCCAGTGCTTACCACCACACGTGCCCTTCTTAATACCCATCACCCAACTACCCCATCCCCTCATCCCCTCCATTCTGTAACCCTCAGTTTGGTTGCTGGAGTCCAGAGTCTCTCATGGTCTGTCTCCCTCTCTTATTTCTTCCCCTTCAATTTTCCCTCCCTTTCCCTATGGTCCTTCATGCTATTCCTCATGTTCCACAGATGAGTGAAAACGTATGATAACTATCTTTCTCTGCTTGACTTATTTCACTTAGAATAATCCCCTCCAGTTCCATCCATGCTTGATACAAATGGTGGGTATTCATCCTTTCTGATGGCTGAGTAATATTGCTTTGTATATATGAGCTACATCTTCTTTATCCACTCATCTGTTGAAAGGCATCTTGGCACAAAACAAACACATAAATCAGTGGAACAGAATAGAGTCCCCAGAAATGGACCTTCAACTGTTCAGTCAACTAATCTTTGACAAATCAGAAAAGAATATCCAGTGGGAAAAAGACAGTCTTTTCAATAAATGGTGCTGGGAAAATTGGACAGCCACATGCAGAAAAATAAAATTGGACCATTCTCTTACACTGTACACAAAAATAAACTCAAAATGGATGAAGGACTTAAATGTGGTACAGGAATCCATCAAAACCCTAGAGGAGAGCATAGGCAATAGCCTCCTTGACATTGGCCACAGTGACCTCTTTCAAGACATGTCTCTAAAGGCAAAGGAAACAAAAGCAAAAATAAACTTTCAGGAATTCATCGAGATAAAAAGCTTTTGCACAGGAAAGGGAATAGTCAACAAAACTAAGAGGCAACCAAGGGAATGGGAGAAGATATTTACAAATGACATTACAGATAAAGGGCTGACATCCAAGATCTATAAACAACCTCTAAACTCAACACCCAAAAAACAAACAATCCAGTCAATAGATGGGCAGAAGACATGAACAGACACTTCTCCGAAGAAGACATACAAATGGCTAACAGACACATGAAAACAGACACATGTTCAACATCACTAGCCATCAGGGAAATACAAATCAAAACCACAATGAGATACCACCTTAGACCAGTTAGAATGGCAAAAATTAACAAGACAGGAAACAACAAGTGTTGGTGAGGATGTGGAGAAAGGGCAACCATCTTATACTGTTGGTGGGAATGCAAGCTGGTACAGCCATTCTGGAAAATAGCATGGAGTTTCCTCAAGATGTTAAGAATTCTATCGTCTTAAAAGCTTCCACAAAATATTAAATTGTTATGGGTAGCAAATATTTATTTAGATTTGACCCCATTTTTCCTCTTTCTTATTATAATTCCTTTTAAAAAAAAAAAAAGAATTTTATTTATTTGACACAGAGAGCCAGAGAGAACAAGCAGGGGGAACAGCAGAGGAAGGGGAAGCAGGCTCCCCACTGAGCAGACAGCCTGATGCAGGACTTGATCCCAGGACTCTGGGATCATGACCTGAGCCAAAGACAGATGCTTAATGGACTGAGCCACTTAGGCACCCCTTCTTATGTCTCATTTCTTCCACCTGTGATTACTTTCCTTCAACCTCATATACCTTTCTTTTAGTTATTTGTAGCAAACTCTTTCAGTTTTTACTTACATGAAAATGTCTTTTCCCCTCCTTTATATAAGGTATTTTCACATAGAAAATGGAAGATGTCATCACAGACTTCTAACATCCATTATTGCTATCTGGTAGTCATCTATCATTCTAATTGTTATTCCTTTGAAGGGTAATCTCTCTTTTCTCTGACTGCTTTTAGTATCTTTCCTTTCCTTTGGTATTTTTCAGTTTCACCACAAAGTGTCTGAGAGAGGATTTCTTTTTATTGTTCCTGCTTGGGGCTCCTGACTCTGTGGATTGTTATCATGCATCATTTCTGGAAATGTATCACCCATTTTCAAATATTCTCTCTCTTATATCCTCTCATTCCATTTTTTACAGAAAACCCTGATTATGTGTATAGCTAAAGCTTCTTATTTTGACCTCCATATCTCTTAACCTCTCTTTCATATTTTTCACGTCTTTGTCTGTTTATGGTACATTTTTGCATCATGCTTTAGGCATATTTATTTCAGATAATTAATTTTCTTTTCATCTTTATCTCCTGTGTTTTAAACAAGTGAGGGTCAGGGGTACCTGGCTGGCTCAGTGGGTTAAAGCCTCTGCCTTCGGCTCAGGTCATGATCCCAGGGTCTTAGGATCCAGCCCTACATCGGGCTCTCTGCTCAGCGGGGAGCCTGCTTCCTCTTCTCTCTCTGCATGACTCACCACCTACTTGTGATCTCTCTCTGTCAAATAAATAAATAAATAAATATCTTAAAAAAACAAAAAACGAGTGAGGGTCAGCCTGTATTATGACTCTCAATGAAGATTATTTTTCTCTTCTGTAAGAGAAAATGTTTGAGAAAATCTAGTTTACTCGCAGCCACCTGGAGGGTATTATTTCTGGTTTGCCTTTTCCATGAAATTTAGCCTGTGACTCTTGTTTTATGAGGAGAGTTTTCTGTTAGATCTCCCACCTTGGCTAGCCCAGAAATTTGCCTCCTGTGTCCTTCCCCTGCAAGACCATGGAAACAGAAACTCAACTTTATTGGGGTTTGTCAAATTTACTAAAAATAAAATCCAGTTTCAGGACTCTATTTACCTCTCTGGGTCCCTAGTATATTTTGCTTTATTGCTATGTCAATGATACACTCTAAAGATTTTTTTAAAAGATTTTCTCCTGATTTTTTAGTTGTTTTGTCATGTTTTCTGGGTTCAATCAAGTTTTCTCTTTCCCCTTAAATCATAATTTCCTATGCCTCCTTGCTGATTAAATGAGTCTTAGCACTTTAGGAAAAAGACAGATGGAGTCTGAAACCAAGAAGTCATTACTTAGGCCCCAAAGATGTTCTTATATTTATATTTACATTTAGATGTTCTTATATTTAGCAGTAAAGCTACAGTTTAGATAGCTGAGTTTCATTGAGTGAGAAAAGAGTTCTTCAAAATACCAGAGGCTGAGGGTTGGGTATCCTGACCAGTGGCTAGGTGAATTATGTGTCTGAGAGTTGGGTTTGTAACACTAGTGAAAACCAACATGGAGCCAAGGGTGGAAAAATGGCACTGAGAGACCAATAGACCCAGAATAAGCCAAGAAAAAAAAAAAAAAACACCCCAAAACTGTGAATTGCACTAATTGTAGATTTTTCTCCAGAGGTTCAGGGAAAACAGAGTCTAAAACAGAGAGAGCAGGCAGGATAATTTATACCTTAACTGGTGGTGGTCAGATGCCAGCAGGTGGCCAAAGAACACAAGAGACACATACTTAGAGGCCTCGGAGGATCAAGGCCAAGTACTCATATATAGACCATGGACCCCTATACCAAGGGTATACAGTTTGTTGAATTTTCATCTACCAGAAACCACACTGGGAAGCAGAAGGGAGGAGGCATATCCCTTAAAACTTCAATTTGACTGAGTATGTATACAAAAGGATATAGCTAAAAAAAACAAATTAAAAAATGCTGTTTTAAATTGGAGAAACTGGAACACCTCTTATTGGAATATCAAGTTTTCACCACCCAATGGAGTGGGAGGTGGACAGGGATGCTTCACAAGGAAGTATTCTTTCTTATGTAGGCAACGAGAAAAAATTATAATTATTGCAAATTTCATTGCAGATATTGTGCTTACATTTTCAAATCTCAGTATATAAATAAAGCAATTTGGTTAATTAATTAAATGATGTATGGTAATTATATTAGGAAACCTAAGTTACCCTGGTTCCTTTAAAATTTACCATTAAAAAGGTACATTTTTGCTAATGACCTGAGATTTGACAACTAAATGGTCTTAGGAAAAGAAATGGACTACTCCAAAGTTCTATTGCCATTCAAACAGAATAATAGCTTTTGGGTGGAGGGATAAGACTGTACCCCAACAAAACTCTGGTCCTCACTTTTAAACCAAGGGAAAGGACTAAGGCACTAAATTAGCTAAAGTAAGA